AAAAGTTGCAAATCCAGAATGTCCCGGCGTTTTGATAGTGATACCATTTTAAATGACTTTAATCTATCTACATATGATGCATTTTTATATGCTTTTCGTGTTGAAAAGGCAAGATGCCATAAAAATCTTTTTTGTACGCGCTCAAGGCGAAGGTTATGGGTAGAATAATGGGGACGCCAGACTGTGCTACAATATTCTAATATACTTCTAACAATTGAGAAGTATAAAAGTTTTTTTGTGGTAACATTACGGAATTCTTTACTATTTCTTATAACAAAACCTAATGCTTGAGATGATCTTTTAATTACATTTTCTAGTTGTGGTATAAATGTAAGCTTTCTATCAAATACTACACCCAGGTCCTTAACTGTTTCCACTTCCTGGATAACTACACCATTGAGGGTATAAACTGATGGGAAAATATTATTTTTGCGAGTGAATTTAATATGTGCACATTTTTTTAGATTAAGAGTCATTCCATAAACATCACACCATTTAGAAAGTCTAGTTAAATCCTCCTGAAGAAGTATCATATCTGACGATTTATTAACAATTTTACAAAATTTTAAGTCATCAGCATACATAAAGCAATTGGAATGTAAGAAAAAATTAGGAATATCGTTAACAAATATGTTAAATAAAATTGGCCCCAAATGTGATCCCTGGGGAACTCCGGATGTGATGGGAAATATGTCAGAACTGAATCCATTAACAACAACAAAATAATTTCGACCTTTTAGATAAGACCTTAACCACGCGAGGATAGGGTCAGAAAAACCATAAGTTTCTAACTTTCTTAAAAGCATAACATGTGATACTCGGTCGAAAGCCTTACTGAAATCGGTATATATTACATCTATTTGCTGTTGCATGTCTACAGTTTTCACCAACGTTTCAACAAACGTAACTAAATTAGAGCAAGTCGAACGAGATTTGACAAATCCATGCTGATCATCTGTAATAAACTGTTTTGTATAATTTTGGATATAGGGACATACTAATGATTCAAATATTTTGGGAAAGGTTGATAATATTGAGATCGGTCTATAATTGCTAACTAAAGTATCATCATCCGCTTTATGTATAGGGACAACTTTTGCGAGCTTCCATATATCTGGAAAGCATCCTGTTTGTAAGGATTTGTTATAGAGTCTGGACCAGGTCCTTTTTTTCGGTCTAAGCCCTTTAATTTTTTTAAAACTGATTTTTCATCCAAAACCAAAGTGCCAAAATGATAATTATTATTATCTAAATATGTTAAATATTGGTTATTTGAATCATTCTCATTAAGACCATTTGGATTGTCTACGGTGTATACTGAGGAGAAATGTGGGGCAAAATGATTGCATATATCAGTCGCATCTGTTGTCATCACACTACCATTAGACATTGCACTCGGATACTTACTATTGCCATGCCGTTTATTTTTGATGTAAGACCAAAAAAACTTTTGAATTTGTAACAATATTATCTTCTATAGATTTTATATAAACGTTGTAGCAGGTCTTAGCTAATTTATCACATCTCTTATTAAGTAACTTTAGGCTGAGTAAATCCATTGCGTTATTATATTTTTTGTGTCTACACCTCACCTTATTTTTTTCCTTTATTACGTTAATCAGACTTCGACTAAACCAAATGGGATATTTATCACTTTTGATCGTACTCCATGGAACAAAGTTTTCTATTGCTAAATTTACAATTTTGTAAAAAACTGAAACAATACTATTTATATCATTTAGCCCCATGAATAGCATATCCCAATTAATTTTATTTAAGTGTTCACGAATTTTTTCATAATCAGCTTTATAGAAATTGCGCTTTTTGACATTAGAATTGTATTTTAGTTTTCGTGTTTCAGATATAAGTAGTTGTATTTCAATCGGAGGATGTAAAGGATCTATGATGGTCAATATATCGTTTGCCTCATTAACAGTGCAATGTAAACTATTTATTAGAACTAAATCGAGAATTCTCCTCATTTTATTTTCGACGAAATTGTACTGTCGTAATTTATTAATATAACAGAAATCTATAAGACTTCGAGCCTTAAAGGGAGCAGTATAATTGCTATTCAAGTCATTGACGAGTTTCCAATTAACGTCAGGTAAGTTAAAATCACCAACTATGCAAGTCCTTTGTTTCAATTTATCAAACAAAGAATTACAGTTACTAAGAAAACATTCCAATACTCTAGACTGAATCGGTGGGGGAATATAGACAGCACAAAGGGCAATTGGAAAATAGTTCTTTCCGTCTGTCAAATCTAGAGTAACCCAAAGATCTTCACATTTACTTTCCCACATAATCATTCTTTTTGACTTGATTCTACTAGATATAGCTATCAATACTCCTCCACCATCCTTATTTGAATGAAAACCGGTAGTTTCCCTGTCCCTTCTATAAACTACATATCTGTTACCAAATAGCTCATTACTAATAATCGTATCATTCAACCACGTTTCAGTCAATATAATGATATCGTAATCGAAATAGCACAATTTACGGTAAAAATTTAGAGTTTTTGTGCGCAAACCACGCACATTCTGGTAGTAAATACTTAACTGTAAATTATTGTATTTTAAATTAAAAAATATTCAACATACATTATCCTTAGATCTATATATAACTAAGAAGATTATACTAATTTTATTATGTATACGATTTGTTAACTACATAGCGGTTTTTAAAATTTACTTCCATACAAAAACTTTTTCTTACATCGTGAAGGCATTTACATACATAAATTGCACATAGACAAACATGAAAAACTTTAAACCGGAATTACTGTCAGCTGCACATAAATACTTTTTATGCGTAAATCAAATCCACCAATAAAACATCTCATCCATTCTTTACAATTCCACTGCTTATCACAAAGAATGCCACACACATGGTCTCTGACCCCTTATATCCATCGACTACCTGCCCGCCTTACCAGGTCGATGCTCCAACTACTATTAAGCCATACTATATGATTTTTAATGTTTTCGCCATGTTATGTATTTTTACACGTAATAGCCTCGAAAGTTCTAAAAAATGTTGGCAACCCTATACACTACTGATGTATTATCTGCTCATTTTAACCCTCTGCTACTGAGGTGCCTTTCTTGTAATTATTCTACTGAGGAGTAGCCTGTCAGACGTATACTTTAGGTAAGGATTTTTCAAATTTTATTGTTAGTTATTGAAAATAAAACTGAATTTAGCAAAGTTTACATTATATTTCTTAAGCCATTGTAAAAAACAGACCAATAAAACCATTGTTTTAAGAAAATATTATTTATTACCGAAACCTTATGAATTATAGGAACATTTGTAATTAGGAACTTTGACATTCAAGAAAAAGAATAAAATTAAAAGAAATAACAAAAAAAACATAACGTTGCCTTCTTCAAGTTTCAAAAAACAAAAAACACTTAAATTATAAAAATCCTTACAGTGATTTTTTTTTAATCAGTCTCAAAGTTCAGTCTTGCAGTCAACACAAATTTGCGAGGAGCACTGTAAACAAATATGTTTCGCACATATACAACAAACAAATCTTGTTTGTCGCTTCAATTTACTAGGGCAGATGCGACATAATTTTCTTGATGATGTACTAGGCTCATTAGAAGACTCGGGTAAAGGTGGTGGGGGCAGGTCCTGACCTAGTACACGTCGCAGAGTCAATCGCAATTCTCTTGGGAGTTTTTCATTGTAAACTCGCTGTTTTAATGCGGGTAATACTAGTTCTCTGGATAGATGCATAAGGAAATCTCCTCTTCTCAATTTCGTACCTTCACATTGACCATAAAGTACATATGCATTGATGCCAGCAATATCTAGTACTCGATAAAATATAGCTTGTGGCCAACGTCTCGTTTTACGACTGCAGGAATATATCGCACAATTTTTATCGATTTCGTCGACCCCGCCTTTTGTGTGATTATAATCGACTATTATGGTCGGTTTTCTAGTTTCTGTGTCCGTACTTGCACTATGGTGACAGCTAGAAATTAGTATGACGGCTTTATCTTTTTTCGGGACAAAAGACAACAAAGTGAGGTCTTTTGTAAAACCATGAAGAGAACTTTCAACAGCTCTGTTTTTACTTGGCATAAACTCTGGAGGTATTTCTCGTTTGTTCTTTTTTAATGTTCCAAAATATGTCAGTCCTTTTTTCAATAGCATTTCTGCCAGATGTATTGAGCTGAACCAATTGTCCGCTGTCACATTATGATTGGTATTTTCAATGGGTTTTATAAGTCGCAACACAGACTGTGTAGGGACAGAAAGCTTTTTCTCAGCCTCCGGGAGACCTACACCATCAGAACCCTTGCCGTGGTAAATGTATGCGTTATATACGTAGGATTCCCGGGCGTCGCTCAAGGCCATTATCTTGATCCCATATTTAGCGGGTTTTTTGGGCATGTAGATGACAAATTTGCAGCGACCTTTGAAGGCTAATAGCATTTCGTCAACGCAGGTGTATGGACCAGGTGTGTAATTTGCAGGGATGGAAAAAATCATGATTTTTTTAATTTTAATCAAATCATGCTGATTTTTTAAAAAAAATCATGATTTTTTTGAATTTTTTGACTTTTTTGATTTTTATTGTATATTTTAAAATTCACGAGTTGGTAACACTTTTTGACGTAGTAGGATTAAAAGTTTATGAATACATATGTATGAATAAAATAATTAATACTGTATTAATTAAAGTTCATATCTTAAGGGTGAATTTCAAAAAAAAATTTTTGGTTGATTTTACTAAGTTAATGAGACTGACAGACCTCATCGCTACGTCTTTGTTGATTTTCCAAAGTTTATGAGACTATTGTAGTAGAATAATAAGAATAACATAAAACAATAAAAGATATTACCTTATGTTAAGCCAGTATTATTTCGATTTCTGCTTATTACATTAATTTATACATGTTGATTTAAATCAATGATTTTTTTAATCAAAATCAAGCGATTTAAATCGTGATTTAAATCATGATTTAAATCAGTCTGATTTAAATCAGCCAACCCTGGTAATTTGCTTGACAATTTGCGATAAATTTATCAAAAAATCCAGAAACAGCAGCAAGAGGGTCAGTTTCTAAGCGCTCCTGTCGGTCATCAATATTGTCCAGCCTCAAGCAATTCAAAAGTGTGTTGAATCTATATTTAGACATGACACATCTAAATATTTCATGACCTGTTCCATCAGTTGCAAACAAATAGTTTGAATCAGCATCGTTACATTTGAATACTGAGGAATAGTATAATAATCCAAATAAAGATCGAATTTCTACAGCATTTGTATCTCTCAGCTCGTGTTTCGAATAATTAGAGAACTGGCGGCGGTAAACTTCAAGTTTTTTATTTGTACAGGAAACTATTGTTTCTATCATATTGTCATCAAAAAGCTTCAGCCAGAGTGCTTCGTAACCGGGAAATCTCGTATGATCAGGGTTTTGTCTAGGTAAAGACACAATGTTACGAGCTAGTGTTCGCGATGTCCTTAAAAAGTCAGTAACTGACCAAACAAAACCATTTTTACCTCGATAACAATTGCGGTTCGAGTCAGGCGTATTAGTAGAACGATTTGTCCCTTCACTCGATGTTTCAATTTCTATTTCTTCGACTTCTGAAATCTCACTCGCAACATGTTCTTCTTCTTCAATTGTAAAATTTTGATCAGCTACTTCGTCGTCTACATCACTAAACTCGTGCTCGTTATCTTCTTCTAACCACTGTTCAATTAATTTTTCTGTAAGATTTCTCTTCCTCGAATTACTGGTACTCGCCATCTATATAGATAGAAACAAAAACATAGGTCATTAAAATTATATAGAAACATATTGCTAAGGTGATGAACGACAGATACTTTTAACATAACTATTTTACTGATGTGACGTATGTAAGACATTAGGGTATTATAAATATTTTACTGACAATACGTATGACAGATCCATCACTTATTACTGACCTTACGTCCTGTAGACACCTGATAGCTCCAACTAGCCACGTGCGCACACTGCGGCTGCCGTCGCCGCACTAAAGCGTAGGTGGCGCTCTCAGAGGAAGGTAGTGAGCGAGACAGGAGATTATGTCGCGAAATGACGGAATGAGACAGACATATAAATTTTGCGGTGTCTGACGTACGTTACGTCAGTAGCAGAGGGTTAATACGAACCGGTTGATAAACTAATATAAAACAATAAACTAATATACAAGTATACGAATAGTAATATTAAAATTGATGTTTTGTTGCTGTTTTTAAAATTGAACCTTTAATTATTCCTTCTTTTTTTTTAATTTCAATAAACCATTTATTTGTTAGAGTTATGCAGCAACAATAAAACCTGAGATTCTCAAAAGCAGCCTGAAGTCAGGCAAGTTGGCAGTAGTATTTCATCACGTGCCTCGGAAAGCACGTAAAGCCGTTGATCCTACACCTGATTTCTCTCCAGTCTTGACGGATTGCCCTACCATCGGACTATAAGAGGTAGGGAGTAGAGAGGATCGAGGATATATGTAGGTATATGGGCTACAGCATCCACCTACCATCAGGTGTTTCCCATTTGATCGATATTCATATTCAGACTGATTTTTTATAGAAAGAGGGGCTAATCAGCATATAGCTCACCGGATGGTAAGTGACTAAGGAGCCGGCAGGACTCTGAGGAAGGAGTAAAATTTTCTCATATGGTGGTTTGTTTCAATAAAGAGAGGTTCCTGTCTAAAAAGCTAACAACGCACACATACAATTCCCGTACTGTTGCAGAGGTTTAAAGCTGTAAGTGATCATTTATCATTAGGTCAGCTACATGTTTATTTGCTCTCTCTCCTATAAAATGTTAACTATAATTTTTCTCGTTTATTCGTCTATGCAAGTGTCTTTGGTCTTCTGTAGCCACTTGCTCAGCGACTGTAACTAGGCAGTCGCTTATAACAGTGTTACCATTAAATTAATCTAACTTTTACGTATTTTATCGCGTTTAGTTTAACTTTTTTATTTCCGACGTTTCGGGTGCTTTGCAGGACCCATGGTCAGAGGGGGGGGGGGACGTCCCGATGTCATAGTTAGCCCGGCTACCTTCAGTTTTTGAATATTAATTTTTGGTCCGATCTACGCAGAATGAGCTTTCAGTATCTTGAAGTATTGCAGTGGTATGCTTGGGTTTGGATTTGATTTTATTAATTATAGGATCCCAAGCAGATGGCAGCACTCATCCATCTTCTCTATTGAAATTAGGATGATTTATATTAATTTCAATAGCCTCGCAAATCATCCTAGGTAGGAATCGGTGTTCTTTTGCGTGGATTTGTGATTTATCAATTCTAATGTAATGGCGGGGACGATCTTGAACATATTCACACACTGCAGACTTCCCGGAACGTCGTTGCTTCAAGTCAGCTATATGTTCTTTCACGAGGATTTTTATAGATCTTTTTGTTTGTCCTATATAAGAAAGACCACATTCGGAATGAAGCTTTTACACTCCTGCATCTTGTAGAGGGATATTCTACTTGACGGACTATTTAATTTATTTATAAGTAATTTTTGAACTATATTTTATAAATTAAGTGTCAGAAACCGTGTCATCCCCTTGCTACTGGTAATGATTTCCTGTTTACCGAAGAAAATAGAGCCCTCTACCCTGTACTTACCTGCATATAACAGTTTATGAAGTTTGAGAATTGTCTTACTTAATGCACACAATACGCTATTACAATTGAAGACGTTAAGGTATAGCGAATTAAAGCAGAAAGAACAATAGCAGACTTTCATACATAAAATTAGTTTAGAAGAAATGGTAGCGTCTATATATCAAAAATATCTTAAAATGTTAAGCGTCAGTCCCTTAATAACTCTGTCAAAGAATTTTGTCCTGAGAAGGCGTCAAAAAAAAAGATATTTAGATTTGAACCTTTTTAGGTTATGTCCTATGTCACTTGAAAAGTCATGCTTTCTGTGGTTGTTTGATGTTAGCTGAATACATAATACATAATTGACAGTTTTTAGATTATTGTATCTCTATTATATATTCGCATACTATAAATGTATATTTCTGGCATGGCTCCAGGGCCTTTATATTATAGTGACATTCTCAGAAGGGCTAGAACCCAGAGCCGTAAAACCAGTAAAAGAAACTGCCATTTTGTTTTAGCTAGTGTTGGCATAACATTAAATGGAATTGTTACATAGTACTATGATTGCGATAATGTATTATTGTAGGAAATTCTTTGTAAGAGATTTATTCTCAGCCATATCGCTTTTATTTTTATTATTAATGATAGTGCAGTTATTACTAATAATAACTTAATATAAAATATTTTGTGTGTTGTGTTGGTAGTGTTACAAAGTATATACGAAAATAGTATGAATATACTAAAGGGCAACACTTGAATAGAGTAAAATGATTTAAGTCATTTGACATTCCAAAAATGTTTGTTTTTTTCTGTGGCTTTAATTAAAATACATTTTTATTTGAAAAATCATCGAAAAATTATAAAACTCATTTTATATATAACTTATTTCTAGACGCGATAATTTTTATCAACTATTTTTTTTGCCATTGCTCTTTGATTATTTTTGCAAAGCTAAAAACGACGCTGACCAAGCACTGCGGTAACGAGATCACCAAACAACCAATTTCTGGAACATATAATCTAACCAGCGATGAGCCCTGTGACCTGTAGATACACGGTACTTACATTCATCACCACCGTGTTTACATGGAATACGAAGCGGCGCTACCAGTTACAGTTAGCAACTTACCTCATTTACGTTCAAATACTAATGTAACAAGTACAAGCGTAATTAACATGAATGGTGTCAACTTGGACGAAGTGAAATATATGTCAAATGCTTTAAAACACAGTGAAATCTATTATACAAATTTAAGTGCTTCCAAAGGAAAAAAAACTACAGTGTTTTAACATATGTAATTTTAAATTTTCGAGCCTTAACTTTTTTACTGTTTTTTTATATACGTGTTAAAAAAATGTATGCCTTACATCCAAAATTATCGTGTAAGCATTAAAAATGATATTATCGGTAATTTTGCTCTTAGGAAAGGAGGGGTTGTGGATACACACCGTCCCTCAGTTTTAGCCTAAAATGTTAAAATATATAATATTGTATTATTTAGACTAAGCAATAAAACTAATGCATCAGCATTTCTATATGACTTCCAAAGTCTGCGCACGAACAGACTCTTTGAATATCATTCATTATTAGAGCCACCTCAAAATCAGTGAGACGTAGTAATCAAATTGTATTTTAGTTTTTAAAAACTCCTTTCGACGTCCCTGAAATTTGACTAGATAACTGTGATGCCGTGTAGTGGCGGTCAAGAATATCCACTACCCCATATCCTCCCGTGGGTGTCGTAAAAGGCGACAAAGGGAAACAGGCAGAAGATGGGCAGCAGCATCTTCCTGATAATAGCCAAAATTATAATAAAAAAACTGCGGTTGCCAACCCGCTCGCCAAGCGTGGCAACTATGGCAAATACCCCCCAATGACTAAACTGTGATGGATGATGGTGCGATTCACCATTTAAATGTCAGTTGGTATGGGTCTTTTTCCCATACAAAATGTCACCAATAGTACTATCAGGATTTAGGATGACTAAAACATCTAGGAAAGCTAAAGAATTGTTTGCCTCTAACTCCAAAAATAAACAAATAGAAAAATACCAAAAGTTAACAATCAAATCCAATGCCAAACATCAATGTCAATATAGAAACAAAACGCAACCTTTGACTACAAACGCAAACAACAAACAACGCACGATCTAGTCAAGTTATGCAGAGGCCGAAAGACGTTTTAAAAATACTAATTTTATTAATTAAAAGATGTTTAATTGCTACAAGAACTCGCTTAAGACTAACAAAATATTCTATGCTTAAAAACTAATGCATGAGAGCCCACACAGGAGCTCGGCAGTTTCCGTCTGTCCACTCAGCACACGCCTGTGGTCTACAATCAGAATATTCTGCTGATGCGAACATCTTGGTTGGTCTCGCCACCCGTAACACCTTCCTCCTCAAGTTCGAAGTTCTCGTTTACAGGAGAACTACGGAAACAAAAATTAAACAAGTTTAAATGATGCTTATGAACTAAGACACTGGTTACAATAATGAATAACAGTCCATACAATAAAATGGTCCATAGGGTAACATTTTTAATCACAATTGTCTTTTCACTTTCACTGTTTTTAATTTCACTTTTTCTTAATGCAACTGACAGAAGTTTGAGGTTCGTAAGATCCATGCCTTCTAGGTTCAGCTGTACCGGGATGACATCTCGAGGGATGAGTTTATTGCAGGCAGGTTAATCATAGGTAATATAGGGGATGAAATGATTTCAATTTCCACAGGGTTACTTGTTAGATTAATGTCATTGATTTTGGCTGCACAGTTATCGTCCAATGTTAAGATATATGTGCGATTAATTTTCTGCCTTGTTATTTCATTATCACAAATCTCGCAGAGTAGAGTAGACTCCTTGGTGTAGATAATCCATCTGTTAGGTTGTATAAGCTGCACCCTTACAGCTTCTAAAATGACTGGAACTTGGATGCATGAGGATGTATTTTGAGCATAACCCAAGCAGCATGCAAACTGTATACGAGCTGTATTGGAGTTCCTTTTTATACTAGAGGCTGCATTTACTGGCTGCACAAAGGCGTATAAGCGCTTATACAGCTCTTATAATTTAAAAATTGCTTTATGCGTTAGTAGCGCTGTACAGTAGCTGTACAAACATAAAAGGGGCTGTATAATAGCTGTATTATAG